CAGTTGAACCTGGGCTCGAAACAGTTCTGGGCTGGACATGGATCCTGTTGCAAAACTGCTGAGAGCTGCCTTCTGCCTTTTATTTCTCAATGTAATTTGCAGCTCAATGTAAGCAGAACTTTGGTTACTATGTCATGCTTTTGAGAGCTGAACTAACAGGCTTTGTGTAAGTTTAAAGAAAAAACAGTCACTTGGGTGGGAATGAAATCCTTCAGGAAAGAAGTTGATCACACATGAAGTTCTGTTCAAACCACTGGGGTACAGACTCTTGCTACCGCAGAGCCTGTAGACGAAGGCCAGTGTGGCAGAGTGACTCTCAGTGTTGGATGTGTGGGCAGTTAGTCACGTTTATTAACAGTTTGCTCAAGCAGAGTGAGCTGTCTAGAGCATACCTTTATTCAAAACTAGGCCACTGTTTGATTTGACCCAGTTTTGTAGCCTGCAGGGAAGATCCCTTGCTAATCACCAACCTGCCTGTATCTGGGTCATTAAATGCCAATAAACACTTATAATCTTGCATCATTGTTGGTGCTGTATTTCTACGCCCCGTTCTTCACCAGGTGACTTCTCCACCCAGCCAGCAGGCTGTAGGACTTGGACCCTGAAGGAGCTGTGCAGTTGCCAGCCTCCTGCTTGGTGCGTGCTTCTTCAGCACTGTCCCTGTAAGGGAGGAAAAAAGGCAGACTCATGCAATTTCCTGAACATGGGTACCTGCCCTACTGCTGCCCTACTACTTCAGAATGAGTGCTGTGCAGCTTATCATAGGTTTTGTTTTCTGTATTCATATAAAACTATTCCAATATCTGGTTTAGCGTTATGAAAATTGAGTTCCAGTCTGTAATAAGCTGAGAGCTGCCCAGGAGTAGTTTGCAGCTGCTCAAGTAGTTTGGGTAAGTTTGTCTGCTTCCCAAGCAGACAGCAAAACCCTCTTTCTATGCCTCATTTTTTTGTCTCTAGTTTGAAGTGACACTGGAGCTACTTTGCCCGTGTAGGCTGGCATCTCTGAAGGAGATGACTCATGGGCACCGTTCTTTCATAATGTGTAGGCTTGTTGCAGCTCTTGTGGTCACAACAATAAGAACTTCTTGTACACGCTTCTCAGTTAGCTCTGTCTTCCTGGAAAATTTCTACTGTCCCAGTACTCAGAGATGGAATAACGTTCCTGCTGCAGGGCATGGCAATGTTTTACTGCGTCTGTTTTTCAAATCACAGCCTCTTATTTTAACATGATTTTTCTTTATACAGTCTGTCAGAATCTCTTTCAATGCCTGTAGGATTTATGATTTCTTGAAGAAACAAACCATTCCACCTTCCCCTTCAGAAGGAGAAGTGATCTATGACATTTAATTCTGGCTCCACACACCAAAGCATTGCAGTCCTGGGGAGGAGGCAGAGGAGGGAAAAATTTAAACATTCAATTAGTCTGTTTCCTGTTGTCTTTTTCGCTTACAGTTGAGAATTTCTGGTAATGCGTAGCTGTTATGGGGGTGTTGGGTAGGTGCTCGTCTGCCTGCAGTTCCAGTTTTGAAGCCGGCATGGTACCTGACACAGTGAAGCCTTCCTCTGAACCCTCCTGTGGTTGTCAGTGGGCTCTCTGCTCGAAAGGAAACATTTGCAGGATCTGGTCCTGCTGGCTGTCTGCTCTCTGGCCATGTCCTAAGCAGCACAACCCATGGGCAAGCACAGTGAAAGCCCATATGGAAGTCTCCAGATAGGGAAAGCACTTCAGTACGCAGTGATAAGGCTCCTTTGAGTTGTAATTTTATGTGTGTTCCAGTTCCTCATGTAGGGCCTTTAGTCATCTTGAGGCTGAGCCTTCAAAGCTGTCTTGAGCAGCTGTCTTCCATTACTGATCCTTGAGTCCTGACTGCTTGTGAGTGCTAGCTGAGGCTTCGTGGAAAGTATCCTGGAAAATCCTTTTGTCAGAAACTTGTGCTATTAAACCTGGGTCTGTATTTGCACGTGAAATTTCTGCGGAATGTATCTACAACTTGAAAAAACATTGCAAACCTTTGGCCTTTGGGATGGGAAAAGTCTCCTAAAAAACTTAGAAGCTTGGGGCCCAAATGCTGAGGAACACACAGCTCTGTAAGTCAAGCCTATGAGCATAATTTAAAATGTCTATTCAAACAATTATGTTCAGTAAAGCATTTTTTGTTAATAATAGGCTTTTGACCACAGTTGTATTCCTGTTACGGTAATCACGAGTTGCATAACTTAGTCTGCCTTGATTTTAAATGCTCACTTACATTTGTGGATGTTGGTTCAAGTCAGAGTCATATGAGGGGTGGCCACAAGTGGATTTCATTCAGGAACCTTCCCAAATGCCATGTTTGAAAGGAGCACCATGGCTTTGTGGCTCATCAGGGTCCTGACTGCTGTGTCTGTGCTTGGGAGTGGGGGGATGCTGGAGGGGGCTCAGCTCTTGTAAATGGTCTCCCTGACTCAGTTGCTGCAGAACAGTTGATGTTGGCTGTGACTTGCTGGTTTTCAGATTCAGCTGCTAATGTGCGGCTGTGCTCCCATGCTAGTTGAGCATGCTAACTGTGAGCTGTGAGATTACACAATTCTTTGCAGTGGAGTTAAAGCCTCCAGTTGAAGAGGGGCTTCACGCTTTTGTTGGAATTGGTCTCATGTTTTGCACAGAGCTGTCGTTTTTGCAGTAAGCAACAGTGCAATTTATGGTCAGAGCCTTATGACTCTGTCAGTTAAGGCAAAGCTTAGCTGAGTGATGTCCAGTTTTGGGCAGAAACTGTGAGTGTGAAGGGTGGGTTTGTATCTCTTATTTGGGGAATTAGAGTAGTGGGAAAATTCCACTTGATTTTAGTGTCCCTGTTGCTAAAGCTCTTGCTCCCAATATTTGTTTCCACAGGTGAGGATCGCATTGATGTCCTGTCTGAAATCTGGGATCACTATTTTACAGAGACTCTTCCTACACTCCAGGCAATATTCTACCCAGTCCAGGTAATCTTAATTATAATTCAGTCTTTAGTCAGGTGAGGCAATGTAACTGCAAGGTCTGCTAATGGCACATGGAAACTTCTCTTCTGTTCCAGCAGCACTGTTTGGCCAGTGGCTAAACAGGTCTCAAAACCTTTAAACTAAGTCTGTGAGGAAGTAGAGTTTGCCCAAATCAGCATTAACTGTGTAAGAAGGACTGCTAAAATTACTGGGCAAGCACAATGTTTTGGGCTGAATTTATTCCCATTTGTCTGCCCTCTGTCTGTGCTTAGCTAAGCCTGAACCTGAAACTATTGGACTATATCTTGTCTAGACTGAAGCTCTGGGCCATTTGTATTTATAGTTCTTCCATTTTTAAATACCTGGTACTCTGTTGGTGCAGATGACAACAGTGACAACTTGTCTTCAGAGGGGAAAATCTGAAGACTAGATCAGGAGCAAATGTGTTTAAGTCACCCTAACTACTTTTGGAGGGCTTATGTCCCAGTTGTGCCTTTGGAAAATCCTCTGTTGGGTTTTGTTAAGCTTTAATAACGGGACAAGTAAATCTATGGGTAAAGGATGAATGAACAACTTTATGTAAGACCTGTTTACACTGGGTATTTTGAAAGCTGAGTATCCCATCAAAAGTGTTGAGCTGTATCATTTTTTAATGTAGTTTTAGTCAGGGTTTCCATGCAAGTAGTCTAATTACCTCCCCAGCCTATTTTGATCTTCTTTTCCATCAGAGGAAAAGAAAAATGTACCTCATGAGACTGATGCTCATGGAAATGCTAGCCGCCTCCTCTTGACTTTTGCCTCTTCCACAAGACATGCTTTCCAGAGCCTTTTACAATTATTTTTCCCTTGTATTGTTTGAAAGGCAGCAGGTAAAGCTCAAAGGTTGCCCTTTTCCTCTAATCCTATTAAAGTTGGCATTTCCTAAAAGAGAAAGGACTTCTGTAAAGACAGACACTAACCTTTCTACTGTGTTTATTTTTACTCTTTCCTTGCTGCAGATGCTTAAAGGTAGGTGTTTGACAGGTAAAACTGCGCAATTATAATATCCTCCCTTCCTCTTCTTTTGCAGCTAATTCTCAGTCAGGGAGTGACCTAATCTATTAAAGCAGGGCTTTGTCTCACTGCAGCTATCTGTGCACTGTGGAAACAGCTGAGCTAACTGTGTGTCATACCCACTGATGCTAATAATTCTGCCACTTATCAGAAAAATCTACTCCCCTGCTATTAAATGTCTCTAATGAGAAACTGAACAAAAGTTACTGCACAGTGGGTGCAGCTTTTGGAAGTAACTTGGTGGTAGTGGTGAAAGCATCACTATAGGATGTTGAGATTCTTTGAAAGCCTAACTTTCTTACTGGATTTGTCTTGTCACAATATCTGAGTCACTCAAAAATATTTCATAGAAGCTGTGAAGTTAGGGAAGTATTGCCATTTTATGGATGAGGAACTGAAAGATAACAGACAGCATATTTAAATCTTTGTAGGCATCTAAGTCCTACACAAATATATGGATTTAAACTGCCTAAATACATCCAAGAATTTGACTCCGAGTAAGCTGCCCTAGGCTACTGGTGCAGTGAGAAATAAGAAATTGCTCTTATCCCAGGCCAGTGCCCCAGTAACAAGACTGGGCTCTTCCTACTAGTAGGGAACTGTATGTACCTATTTATATGGTGAAGAGAGCTCATCTAGCAGAGTTCTTTTACCAAGTCACAGTTCTTCATGCGCTACTCTGGTAGATGGGAAAGTCAGTTTGTTGTTGGTTCCCCATACTTTGCTGTAAATGTCAACATGGTTATTTAGTTGTGCTCTTCTGTGATCCCAGCAACTGCCCATTCAGTCAGAATGAAAGTAAGTCAGCCAAATGTGTGAGCATATGTAACCAAAGGTAATAACTAGAAGTAACTTCCTATCGCAGCTAAGTTTAAACCTGAGGCTCATAGCTGCTGCAGAATTATGACCTTTAAGCAGCCAAGTTGGTTAAATTGCTGTACAGAGGGAAACTATGTAAACAGGTCACTGGCTTTAGTATAGTTGCAGCTGTTGATGTAACTACTCAGTGTGGAAAAAGAATAGCAAAGCTTGTTTTGTTTGGCACAGCAAAATGTTTGCATTTTGAAATGGGGTATGAAGTTAATGGGACTAAACTGCATGACATAAACAAAAAGTGTGCTGAAAATATAATTCAGAGATACGGACTGGTCTTTTCTACAGTTCCATGTTTCTAAACACGCAGTGATGGTTTAAAACAGCAAAGTGTTTTTATTATGGCCAAGCTGCCCTCCAGACTATTTGCTTTAATTCTTATTTACATATTGATGATGCTGTTAATTATGACATTAAACCCATTATGAATTAATGATTAACTGTTGTTAATTCCTTCCAGCTAAATATTTGCCATGTTGAGCGTGTTATGGAGACCATAAAATGGTTCCCAGACTGACCGTGGGGCAGAGATTAACGTGCTGGGAAGCACAAGGGAAACTCTTCAGGCTGGAAAGTGCTGGGCAGGGCTGGGAGGAAAATTTCTGCTGTTAAGCTGCAGTGGGGCAAGAGAAACTCATGCGGACATTAAGCATAGCAGAAGGAAAGGCAGTAGCACCAGAATGCCAAATGGAGTCCAACTGTGTTTAAATATGCTGAGAAATATTACAACATCTTCATCTGTTACGCCTGCTCACTTGTGATGTTGATGTAAAAAAGTAACAGAGAGGAGACACACAGCGCCTTGTGGTGGAAATCAAAGCTGTTGCTTTTTAAAATGATGTTTGGTACAGTCTCGCTAGCTTTGCTCTAGCCTAAATCCTAATATCTGTAATGGACTGAATTGTGGACTTTTGTCATATCAGCAAGGTCTAAAGTACAGACATTGGGCAAAAAGAAGATCCAACACAGACCAGAGGTAGGCTTAGTTAAGGAATACTCTGTACCAACCTCTTTGCCTACCAAACCTTCTCTGGTTTCTCAGCTCTGAGTGGCAAAAACACGAGCTGCATCCATCCTGGGCCTTGGATATTTGTGACCAAATTGGACGGCAGTTGGGTTTCATGAATGTGTAGTCTTTTGGTGAAATACAGGCCCATTTTTGGCTTCACTCCAAACCTAGTGGCACCTCAGATGAGATGTTACTCATTTCAGAATTTGTGTGGGACAGATACTGAGAGGAAAGCGACCGAAGAGTACCATGAATCCTCAACCTGAGCAGCTGGGAGGTGCTTTGCCACAGCAGCAATGGGCAGAATACTGTGTGCATACATGTGTTGGTGCGATGCTCACATGTCCCTTTACCAACTCTTGGATTTTGCCTTCTGTGGTTTTTAGGGTCAGGAGTTGACTATTCGTCAGATTGCTCTTCTTGGCTTCAGAGACTTGGTCTTGCTAAAAGTAAAGTTGGAAGAAATTCTTCCTCTGGTCCAGACAAAGCTCCCAGCTTCCATTGTCCAGATGCTGTTAATTCTGCAGGTGGGGAGCCTCTGCTCTTCTTCATCTGACTCCACTTGGGTATCTTGACCTCACTGAACTAATACAAACCCTGGAAAGGAGAGTGGGGAGGGTAGAGGGTGTGATGAAGGGGAAGTCATGTGTGCTTATTTGGGAGCGGTAAATGTAGAAATGAGAGCTGAATTTGAATGTCTTGACCTTTCCCGGGAACAGGTAAGGATGTTGCTGTGAAAGGGCCGGGTTCTGCTCTTCGGTGTTTGTATTTTTCTTGGTACCTTTCCTCCCCAGCTAGGAACAGTCTCAGGACTCTTTTTTCACATCAGTTTTCAACTCCCAGCTTCTCTGAATGCCTCTTTGTGCTCTAGTTCTCCTGGTTTCTCAGCTTTGCAATGACAGGGCGAGTCTCCATCACAGCGGACTGTGGAATTTGAATGAGCTGTGGCTGCTGGCTGCCCAACACTGGCCCCTGGGCTGGTTGGGATGCTAAGCAGTGCCCATGAGAGGAGGAATACCTTTTGGCAGCAGACAAAATGCTATACATATTCCAAAGGCCTCTCCCAAGAGACCCAGACCTTCTGTGAGGACTATCCTCTTTATCCAGACTCAAGAAAATATTTTCCAAGCATGCCAAATACAGCCAAGTATACCAGCTGTTTTATCTTTTTATAACTCCCAGCCTGACAGTCCTGCAAAATACCATATTACAGGTGGCTGTTTGGGTTCCTCTCATTTTTATTTATTCTCCAATATACCTTATAATAAGTGACGGGGAATGAAACTTTTTGAAGTACAATCAAAATTGTGAAGTGGCTAAACTGGTATTTCTGTATGAGTTCTCACTGTTCTGATGTTCTCAGTGGCCCAGACTGTTATAGCAGGAGATACTAAAGTGCTAGCTCAATTTCCTTGAAATATTTTAATAAAAGAATCTTGAGCGCAAAGAGGGTCTCGAAGTGACTCATTTGAGAAAGAAAAGCTTATTGAGGCTTTGCAGGAAGTTAAGTCTGTGAACGGTTTCTGAAATTACTGTTAAATTGGTTAGTGTTATCTACCATCTTCACATCTGTAAGCTGAACTACAGAGAGTTCTTTTTCTGCAGTCCTGCCTAGGAAAAGAGCAATGCTTTACCCAAGGTGTGTTAAGGCTTTTCTAAAAAGAGACATTTCCTGGTAGAACTGCCCTGGTATAATTATATCATTGTAGTTACACTGTGCAAATCCTCAGTGTGAGTGTATCTTGTACCTTCCTATCCCTTGGTCGGAAAAAAGACAGCTAGGTGCTCGATGTCCACGGGGTTATGGCTGTGACTTAACAAGGAGGTTGACCTGAATGGTACCCAAACCTCCATTTGGGCTTATCAGCTGTGCTCCTCCAAATGGTCTACCGATATGGTTGGGATATTCCAGTGCAGAGATATTTGACATACCCCAGGCTTTATTCAAAAACCTTACTCAAAACTATGTAAGGGTAATGTTGACCTTTTATGTTTGAATTTCAGAGTGTCCATGAGCCTACTGGCCCCAGTGAGGGCTACCTACAGCTCGAAGAACTGGTCAAGCAAGTGGTATCGCCGTACTTGGGTTTGTGTGAGGATCACAGCTTCGCTGGTAGCACCTGCTTGCTTGGTAAGACATGCACATTGTACAGAAGCTCTTTTTGGGCTACACAGGTTCGTTAATGTGAGGCAATGCACATCTGTGATAGAAAAAGAGACAGTGCATGCATCCATGAGAGGCAGAAAACAAAGGCTGAAAAACCCTCCACAAGGTCCTGATTAATATGTTTCTGAATGTAGATTTTTGTGACAGACGTTTTATTTGCCATGACAGAGTGAACTATTACTGCCCCACTACTGCACACACACACGTGCAAAGTCTCCCCTCTGGAGATGGGCTGGGTTTTAAAACTCCATGGTCCATGCCTGACGTACTGCTCTCACCCCAGTGAGAGACTGCACCCAATTCTTTGCTGCCTGCTCTCTGTCCCTGCTTGCTAGCCCACTTCAGCTGCCTGGATTCCCACATTCACTGCTGCATCAGCCAGCCTTCACAAACAGCAAAACTGTTGGATACTCATTCTGAGGGATTACAGGGTTTTTTTGCATGGAGTCTTCCTTCCATCTGAGGACTCTGTTTAAAAAAATAATCTGTTTAAACTGTGGATAAATGGGTCTAGGTGAGAGAACTGGCACTTCACTTCAGAAAGGGAATGCTTATAGTGGAAAACTTCTCCACACATGATCCAGGAGCTCTGCTTACACACGTGGCCAGTGAGAAGAGATTGGCTAGCTAAAAATGGTCGTAGTGATATTGATTTGATAGCCAAGAAGATGTAAACAGAACAAGTGAAGAAAGCTCCAGTCTCCTCCTGTTTTTATAGGAGGAGACTTTTAGCTTTTGCTTCGATGCAAGTTGTAGCAAGCTGGAGACAAACAACCTGTCTTGTACTACACCTTAGTGTCACAGGAGAGAAGATGGTCTTGCGGTAGAAGGACTTACAGGACTCAGATGATCTGTGCCTGTAACAAACTCGTGGCATCACTTTAGGCAAACTATGGCTCATGGTTTTTGTTCTTGTGGTTGTTGGGCAATTAAATATCTTTTATGCAAGTGAACATGATTATACAGTCCAGCATTGATTTGCAGACCTGATCCTGAGGCTAAATCTAAACCACATCCCCCCATAAAATTGAGCTTTGACAAATTTGATTGTTTTGCTGTTTATGGACATCTGCATGCTGCTGGGATAGTTTGAAAGGTAGCTGCCTGACCTGTACTCAAGTTTCTATCCATCCTGGATTTCCACCAGCTGAACAAGGCATTAGTGTCATTAAAAAAAAAAAAAAATTCATATGAACTGGCCTTGTAAAGTTTATGTGCCTTAAAATCATTGTATTTACTTTGATTTTAGCTGTCATTTATTTGTGTGTATTTCCATGGCGGCCTTTTGCCCCTGTTCCACCCTGTGCTGAGCGGGAAGAAAGAACAAACTTGTGTTTGCATTACACAACAGTGACAGCAGACAAGCACTTTTCTGCAAATAATCTTGGTATTCTCAAAGTCCTGCTGTGGTAGGGGTTTCTTTTCCTTAACTTCCACTTCTAATAAAACTTCTTTCTCTTCCTTTCTCCCTCTTTCTGTTACCTTTTTTCTTTCTCAGAACCAGTTTCTTCTCTCACTGGACAGCCTGTAATGATGATGGAGCCCAGTAGGTTCCCTGTAGTAGCTTTTTGGAAATGCAGTGTTGGGCTTTGGGTATGCTTGCATTCTCAACAGATGCTATGCAGGCCAAACTGCCCTCTGCACTGCTCTTAACAAATGAGTATTGAGAAATGTGACTGGAGGTGTCTGATCACAGCTGTGAATACACATAAGGCTTCAGCCTGCAAGGCTGCTGTATCTTAAACTTGATTTAAAGTGAGAGAGGAGTGCAGAAGGGATAGGTGTGAAAGGGGACAGGACAGCTCACAGAGGGGATTCATAGAGGGCGGTGTCCCCACTTGCTCTTCTGTTACCACCCTTCTTGCTTTGCCCATGTAAGTTATCCATAACCTGCATTGTAAAGATGGAGTATGCTGAAGGGATCCAGTTGTCTAGGAAACAATGTTTAAATTTGCAACAGGGAAGATAAAACCTTCCCCCTATTCCCCCCATGTATTAAACCTAACATCACTGCTGATTTGAGTTTGCTTGCAAAAAATCTCTTAAAAACTCCTCCCCGTTTATGTTCCTGGCCATAATGCACCAAAATAGAAATAAAATCTCTAGTTAAACTATGCATGATAACTCCCTTAAGAGACTGCCTTTTGTGGCCAAGAAAGTAAAGGGGGAAAAGTGAAGCAATAAATGAATATTCAGAGTTTAGCCTAATTTTTACCTGATTCTCATCATAAAGGACTTTAATTTTGTTGCACAAAAATAATCTGTGGATATTTTTTCCTCAAAAGAGTCACATCATCCCTCCCTTGAAGAGAATAAATGTGGAGAAATTCCTCACTGTCCATCTCTCTCACTACCTGGTCAGTCATATGTAAGCCATCTCTACAGCTAACCTGCTCTTAAAAACTGCCATTGAGGGAAGCTCCTCAACTCCTCTGTGCAGTTTCTTGCAGCCCTTACCCTTGGCATTAGAAAGTATTTCTTAATGTCTTAAGAATGTCTTTGCTACTGTTGTGGGGAGAAAATGAGAGCAGACACCTATCAGGTCTTAACTGAATCAGCAAATTCAGAAGTCAAAAGCCAAGCCTGTTTCCTCAGTCGAGCTGAAGACTGAGTAACCTTAGTAGATGGCAACCAAATTGCCTTTCCTCTTCTTGTGTTAGTTACACAATGCCTGGCCTCCTGTAACTGCCCAGGCAAGCCTTTCCAGTCCTACCTCTTACAGCTACAACTTCAGGTAAAATGTTTGCTGGTGGGGGGAGAACGAAGAATTCTTCTAACCAATTCCATTGAGCACCACCAGCTCTGTCACATGTCCTTCCAACACATGTTTCACTGGAGTCCTACCCATTTTGCTGTGACAGCAGGATACTGGACCATTCCTGTACTGCTGTGAAGCTGGATAATTCCTGTGGTTAGATCAGATAAAATTTGAGCACTTTGTCCTTTAACCTCTTTAGTTTATTTCATATCACCACCACCTTCCTCCTCCCTCCTCTGTCCCAACTTCTGTGAAACTTTATGGTCAGGGATTGACACAGATGAAGGTCTAGGTTATCAAAGGCACTCAGATACCTAAACAGTTGGGTTTCCAAGTCCACCAGTGAAGTGCTAGTGTTGTCCTGGTTGGTGGGTAAGACTACCATAAGAGGAGTTGGGGTGGGCGGGGCAGTAATTTTCAAAACTGGCCTTTTCTGTCGGTTGGTTAACTCTTCTGCTGTCTACTACAGTGTTTCACATTCAGCTGTGTCTGAAGCACAGTGTCTGAGCATCAAACAAATCATCTCAAAAGACCATGGTGGCAAGAAGAGTATGGTAAAATGCTGGTATTTCTGGGACAGAAAGTAGCAGCTTGACTAACAGAATAGAAGGGAGGAGAAGAGTTAAAGTTTAGTTTCTCCAAACTGAAGTATGCGCTGAGGATAAACTATTATTGATTGATTGATTGCTTACTTAAAAAACATGCCATGCAAATGCTGACTAAATGTGAGTCTACTTTTAGTATAAATATGGTCACGTTGGTAACCAGCTGCATGGTTTAGGCAAACAGGTAGCAGCACAAGCCCCAGCACATGCTGCCTGCATGTCCATCCAGATTCCTGTGTGGGTTTTCAACCTCTGCTCATTGCTGGGTTTCTGGGTTACAGTAGTTACTTCAGTATAGTCAAACTCAAGTCCTTTGCTTTAATTTTGCACGCAGTAGGTGGTGCAATGCTCCTGTTTCCATGCTGATATAGGTCTGAGGGGAAGAGTGTGGTCTTCTGAATTACTGTCAGTGTTCCCTTCGATACCAGCAGGTTTTTACAATCTCCCCATCCAGGTTCTGATTATATTTAAAAACCTGAATGATGCCAGACTTTGAAACACTGGGACATGCATCAGCTCTGTGCAGTCTGCTAGTCAGTGAGTGTGTGCACGTACACAACCATGCAAGAGTGTACACAAGTATATACATCATGTATAAGCCTGTGAAATGATGAATACAGACTGGCTGGATCACAAACTACCATGGTAGTTGATGTAACTAATGATACTAGTTGACCATTTTACCACAGCGGCCAAGGACATGACAGAAAAAGATCTCAGGATCTCTGCCATTTCATGTGAAGGCAGAGTCACCAGGCTGGGCAGGAATGATTTTATATTATTGCTTCCTATGTTATGCTTGCTCTTAGTGGAGTTTAATCTTTCAGGTCATCAGGCTTGGCTCTTTCAGCAGCACTAGAAGTTTATGCACAAAACTGGCACTTTTTTCTCACCAAAAATATTTTTATTTATCTATTAAGTGAACATCAGGCCATGGCCATGATTTTTCTTTTTCCTGTGTATCCTGGCTTTTTGGGAAGGGCTGCAAGCTGTCTCAGTTTAAATGAAGCATGTTTTAATTTTGAATGTGTTGTATAGGAACAGAGAAGAACAAAGATTCAGCCCTTGCCTACAGAATCTGCAGCTGTGGAGTCTGGAAAATTGGCAGTGTTTTACATGGCTCAGTTCAGTTTAACCTCCTCAGACCTCTCTAGTTAGCTAAGACACCTCTGCATAGCTGAAGCCACTGCAGGGTAGACATAATGTAAATATTAAATCGTGGGATGGGGGAGTGCAGTGAACCATTACCTCAAGAGGCTACTGAGCTCTCTCTCCTCTCACCCGAAGAGCTGAACAGCTCTTAAAGGTGTCTGACTTCCTAATGTAGACAGGAGATGGGCACCTAAATGCGTTTAAAGATCTCAGCCTGGGTATGTAATGTTGTGCGTGTGTAACTGCCCCCACCACTGGCTTCTCTCCTTTGGTATCAATACTTCACTTTGTTCACAAAATTGAGAAATGAAGAAGCCCTGATAAGTACTGGTGAAGGTGGAGAATCAGCTACTGCTAATGAAACCAGTGTTATTTTGGTCTTGTCTATGCCAGGGTAACTTTCCAAGACCCAGGCATGGGCAGCAGCAGAATGCTAGTGCAGTGAGCGGGATTTGGTGATGCCAGTGCTGTGCTAGGCTGCTCGCCTGCTGCTGCCCTGCCTGCCGCTGCCGATCGAGCTGCAGGGAGGGGTGCAGAGCAGAAGGATGCTTGTGTGGCTTCCCCTTTAAATTAGTTTTTCCCAATGCCCTCCAACCCTACAGCTTGCTCTGGCTTGAGCTGCAGACGACACCTAAAGAGTATATTTAATGTAACCAGCCTCAAAAATTATTTGCACATGCTCTTAAGCACGAAATGAACCGTTTTGAATGAATGTATTACTGGCAGCAGCACGGTGAAATGTTGTCATAGCTTGGCTGCTGCCAGTGGTGGAGCTTTGGCTGCTCACCCGTTCCTCCCTGCAACAATATAGAGCTTGTTTTCTGCTTTTCTTCCTGATACAAGCTTCCAAAAATCTTTTATAACCTTCAGTGATGAGTGCTTTGCTTTATGTTTTGTTACTCTCTTATGCTCTGCAGTCTTGGTGGAAGTATTTTATATGGTTTAAAGGCTTCTGACTTTATGAAATGAGACCCTGCACTTCAAGGAAGTTGGTGAGAAACAGAGAGACAGGTAGGGAATAGCTTTATCAACTGCTTTAGGGTAGACCACATGAGGTGTTCAACACCACATGACAGTGTTGCATGACAGTGCAAGACAGCAGGTGAAAAGTAATACTGCCTGCTAGGGAGTGAATTTCAGCAAGACAAGGCACAAACTCAGAGCCCTGTTTTTCTTAAAGCTTTCAGTGTCAGAATTTAAACAGTGCTTCATGATATGAGGCTGGGGACTGTGCCTTGGGTTTGAGTTTTAAACCAGGCATTTTTCCCTCTTAATGTTTTTTCCAAGCAGATCATAGACCCTGCATCCATCAATTCTGTGTCACCGCCTTCACCTGTGCTCTGCAAGTACTGCCTTCCTCTTCTGTGCCTTTCCTCAGGCTGTTGTGGGCTGTTGCTGTGCGCTGTTAGGTGTGTTCAGTGTCCAGCCCCAAACCCAGACATGTTTTAAAGTGGATGAAATGCTCTTTTTCTTGCATAATCTTTAAAAAATATAGTGGGGTAATACTAGCAGAACCACCTTTCCCTAGGCAGCTGGAGAGGCAGTGCAATATAAGCATCAGGAATTTCATGTTGACACCAGCTACTGGCATCTCCTGAGAGAAATTTTCCAGAGAAAGGGATGGCAACTCAGGCCATCACTGAATGTTTCTTTGTGGACTTGTGCCACTTTAGTGTCACTGACTTTAGTGAGCCTGCACGTGAGAGCTCCTACTTGGTCCTCACCCCCCCTGGGTAAGAGAGGAGATGCTGAAGAAAGTGCCTTTGCTGCACTCATTACTTTTTGGCTCACTTGTCTCCCAGGCAGCAGCACTATTGCCTTACAGCAGGATGGGAGGTGTCTCCTTAGCAGGGGAGAGGCAGACCTCCTTTCCGAACCCCCGGCAGTGTGAACTAATGAGCACCTGACTGTTCCATGGTGGTAACGAGGTGGGACGCTCTGTGGCTGCACACCGAGTCCTCTCTGTTTCCTGAGGCCAGCCTAGCAGTTTGGGTGATGCTTTGTCTGTGCCCTATTGACGGTTCCTGTTTCCTTTTTCTCTTCCAGAGAGACGGTACTCCAGATCCCGTCCTAAGACTGGTGTACTGAATTATTCATCTCACGTGGTGACGAGCCGGCAGCCCAGCGAGATGGCCCTTACCCCACTGACAGAGCAGGAGGGTGAGGCTTACCTGGAGAAATGTGGTAGCATCCGTCGCCACACTGTTGCCAATGCTCACTCAGATATTCAACTCCTGGCAATGGCCTCCATGATGCACACAGGAATGGTGATTGAGGAGTCAGACAGTACCGACAAATGCCTCCTCCTGCAGCCCAATTTTAGCCACAGGCAGTGCTCCAGTGAGCCCAGTATTGCTGATGGGCCAGAGGGAGTCATGGCAGAAGGTAGGCAGGACCCTGCAGAGCTGAACTGCACATCGGTCAGCTAGAAGAAGTCTTGCTGAGGCGAGGAGAACTGTATGCACTAAGCTGGACAAAGTGCCATGTCATCCCTGCTGGGAAAAAAGAGAAAAATTTGAGTTTTGCTCATGTGATTGAAATGTCCTTATGGCCCCCCATAAGAGGGATCTTATGTCTCTTTGGGAATGCTCTCTAGATTTGTTTTTCTTGTCTGTCTGGGATCATTGTTGATGGAGGTACCAAGCTGCTCCCAAATGAGCACTGAGGGCTGCAAAGGTTTCACTGTTGAACAGCGCAGTCTGCCTTCTGTAAGCTTTCTTCCTCTACCAGTCCAAACCCTTTGGCCTCAGGCTTCCTTCTGTTTCCTTGGTATGATACAAATTAGCCTCTTTCTGTTTTCCTCCATCTTTCCCAGCTTTGTGCTGATTGTTTGCTCTTTGTTCCTGCAGCAGAGAGTTCTGTGCTAAATGTTCTCTTTGCTTCTGGTGCTAGGGTGGTGATGGCTGAGGACTACATTTTTCTCTTTTAAAGTTGAACTCAGGGATGAAACCATTTGCATCCTGCAGAAAGATCTGCTCAGGTGGCTCTTGAGAGAAGGAGATCCTTCACTTTGGATGAAAAGTCCAAATCTGAACAAATCAGACTCTTTTTTCCTAGACCTGAAGAGAACCGAGTATACATGGAGTCCCAGCTGAGTACTTCATATGTACTTCATTTGGTTCCAGGCATATCTTTGGGGGTGGTGGTGTAAACTGGGTGCAAAGGAGGGGTGGGTGTGTAAATTGGGGGCAAAATATAGTCCTGAGCATCCTGGCATGTGGCATCAATTTGCTCTCAAAATTCCTGTGGTGGTAGGGCTACAATGAAAGGAGAAATCTAAATGGATTCCTTCGGGAAGGAGACACTGGGCAGAGTCCACACTTGTGCAGGAGACATAAAGCTGCTTCTCAGCACTGGGCTATCGTGGTGCCAGATCAGGAGGTGACAAACAGGGTTTCATCCTTGGGCTGCTCTGGTACTTTTAGCACTTGCAGATTTCATGAGACCAAAGATAACCAGTGGGCTGTAGGAAGGAGTCCTGTCTTGGTAGTGTATTCATGAAGTGCTCCTGACCTCCAGTGGTATCTGACTCAGCGCAGTGTTGCTTTTAAGATAAAGCGAGGGCTCTTTGCAGTCTTTGTTCTGGTTTTTATTTTGAAGATTAGGAGTGGGTCCAGTTTGCAAGTGCCTGTGTCAGGCACTGCAGTCCACAGTGTCTGCTTTGTAGCATCACTTGGTACTCAAATGCTGCTTCTATGGGAACAGAACCAATCTGTTTGAGCAGTCCCCTAGGATACTCTGCTGATGTCTTGCTAAGCAGATTTGCAAGTGTAATTACAGGCTTAGAGGTGAACTGAAATGCTGCCTTAAATTTCAAATCCCATTAAAAATATGAATATAACACCACTGTCACTCGAATCTAGTCCCTGTGGTATTGACTGTAAATGAATATGTCTTGACAAGGAAGCAGAAGGTTAGGATGAGCCTTCAGGATGTTCTTTTTGCATGCTATGACATTAACTGCAGAATTTGCCCTGCTTCTGTTGGGCATTAAGCATCTTCTGCTCCACTGGCTGCACTGAAAGTACACCTCTGACCTGTCAGGATTTGAATGTGCAGCAAAAAGAAAGCAGATTTGGTAACAAAGCATCAGAAATACCAGTGATGAGCACAAGCCACACTGCCTTTGTAAACAAAGGTGTTGCTTTGTCTCCTGTGGTTTGCAAATGTTGAAAGAGATACTTGAAAGGGCCTGCTTTTTCTTGCAGTCACCTAAGGCACCCTAGCTATTGGCCTTTGTGGAAATGCCAAGTGTTTTGATCACCAACTGTGCTTACATGTTGAAAAACAGAGATTTAGTTGTGCTGGTTGCCTCCTCTTCGGAGCATGTACGCTCCAGTGGAAGCCAGGAAGATGTGACTTTAAGCAGTCTTCCCTTCAGATGGCTTCTGGGATAAATTGCCCTCCTATTCATAAATTGGACTGACCAGGCCAACTTATTTGCCCAAAGGTGGCCATGGATTGTGCTGGAGCTTCAGAATCTCTGTGGTGACAGCCAAACCTAGTAGACCATGCTGGTCTTACCTTGGCACAGTCCCTCCAGCATGGGGCAGATGATGGTGTCCTGCTCAAAAGGAATTCCTTTGGCCCCTTGCAGTGATTTAAAGCCTTGTCTTAGTCACAGTGGGGTATGTGGGGAAGTGATCAGCCTGCAGCATTTCAGTTCACTCTTGTGAATACTTTTCTTCTTTCTATTTCTCCTCTAACCCATTTGCCTTCTGTAAATACCCAAACCATTTGGATTAGTGAGCAGTGCCCTCTTTTATGGTGAAAATTAGAATGATTTATTTATTTCCTGACATATTCTTTGATCATCTCTAGGGCTAGTAGGAATCCAGTCCTGGTTTTAACTTGAATTTCTTTTGTTTTACATGTATGTATAATTTGAATTATTTTGATTTTTTGTCTGTTACGTTGCAAAAATTTGCACCAAGCCACTCTGAATCATGCACTTCCCCACTTGTTTTGGTGTTTAGGGAGAATTAAAGCTGGTGGCTTTACTTTGTAAACTGAAGTAAACAAAACTTGTCCTGTAAACCACACTGAGGGTCTGGTCATAAGCACCACTTTTACAGCCATGTGAGATGCACAAGCCTCTGCAAGCCCATACCTTTTACAGACAGACTGGGTGAACCTGGAAGTGGTCAGAAAACTGCACCCTGCGGCTGCCATGATGGCAGTGAGAGGCTGGCACCAAAGGACCGTGGGGGCAGACCTGTGGGGCAGCACTGAGTGGCCACTGTCTGCTGAGGATTCTCTCAGCCTGCAGAGGCTCAGTCCCCTGGAAGCGAAGAGAAAAGAATCTGTCCCTGGGCCAGAGCTGCAGTGTGAGAAACACTTGCATTTTGGGTCCAGGGTCTGGGGTTACACTTCTTCACTGCTCACCATGTCACACAGCCGTGACAGGGGCACGGGGCAGGTCTTTTCTACTCTTATGGTCATCCACTTGAGAAAACCTCCTCAAAGAGCTGTTAAAATGGGAAGAAGGGATTTCTCTCACCACCTCCCAAAGTCTGTCATCTTCTAACTGGATAATTACCTAGATTGAGTCACCGAATCTGTCTTCTCTTTTTACTCTGTACCCTCTTATTAAGGTAAGTGATTTATTCTCTGTGTCTGTACAATTATGTCATAAACTTACTGAGGGGATCTCAGCAGAAAGCTATTCTTAGTACAACTGGCCTTTTTCCTGACATTCCCCATAAGCAAGCAGCATGTTTTTATTGCCAGCAAGCAGAGCTTCTTCAGTCCCCAGCTAGGTGGGCAGAAAGCCAGTTTATTTTTTGTTTTTTCTCTCTGAAGAAATGCAGTAGATCTTGGTGCTGGCACTGGTGGCAGCAGGGGGAGCGCTGCAGGGTTTGGATTGATGCTGACATAGGGTATTGCCCTTTCTTTTTAGGTCTGAATGGCAATGGGTTCCCCTGGAAGGAATGGTCTTTTGATGCTTACAACCCTGAGCTGACAGACTGAAAATGCTTGGCTCTCACAGGCGGCCTGTGTGTCCCAGAGAACAGAAACTGAGTGTCTAGTGAGAGACAAATTGTGGTGTTTATGGTGTACTTATTTATGTGAACTTCTTAATTCTGCTGTAGACCAAAGTAGCCAGTGTCCCTAACTGGATTCCCTGTTCCTTCCCAGCCTGGCTCCTTCCCCATGCCAGCAGCAGCGTTCCTGGACCAGGCACACACCTTGTATTGTGTGTGGGCATTTCCAGCAAGAGAAAGGGGAGGTGAACAGTGTAGAAACTCAGCCAAAGTTGATGACACTGATTTGTACCAAGTTGCCAGAGCCAGAATTGCAAATTCTGTGCTAAAAGCTGCAGGCAGGGCCCTGTGGTGACACTCACACTTTCTATGAGTCTTTCTCATACTTAGGAAAGGCTGAAGAAAGGTGATTTTTAACTATTGGTGCTATACAAGTGAAAGTGAGCTCCTCTCCTCATTCACAACTGAAATTTAGAGGCAGATAAAGATCATCAGCTGTGGAAATTGCAGCCAGCAGAAGCAAGTGATTGTGTTTTATCCAGTAATTTTAGTGCAGCAGGCAGCTATCCGTGCCAGGAGGCCAGGGCTCCTCCTCACCGAGCCAGCATCAGGTCCTTTCCCTAGCCCCGCTATATCCTCTGTGGTTTGGTCAGTGGCATATCTTCAACGGGCTGTGGCGGAGACTGGGAGAGCGCATCCTCCTGTTAACCTACCCTGTGCAGTAAACCACCCACTCCTGAAAAAAAAGTGCATGTTATATCAAGCCACGAATCGGGCATCTAAACTCCCAAGAGAGGTGGGGGGCCAGGTTGTCTGCACTCCCCAGCTGCCCCCTTCCCCACCCCTCTGCAGGATGGGTCTCTGCAGAGTCAGCACCACTTCCTGCACGCAGCAGCCTGGCAGCAAAGCTCAGAAAGGCAGGTGGGAAAGCAAGACATCCTGGCATGGAGGCCCCACGGTGCCCAGGGAGTTTCCAAGGGGAACGTGAGCTGGAAATTCAGCCCTCAGTCAGCTTGTGTCTCAATCACAAACACTCCAGCTCCATAGGAAAGTTGCCACAAATTTTCCACTTAATTCAAAGTAGGAAAAGCATGGCTAGTATTTGGTATCTCTCTGAGCAAGAGGAGATATTTAGTCATCCTATTAATTTTTCAAATGCGGAAGGTTGATCTAGCAGCACAACAACAGCTTAAATAGGATTGTTGTTACTTACCCACCCATTTGGAGAGTGCTTACTATCCCCCTTGCTACCCCAACAGCTCCCAGTGAGGGCACCAAGCACTTAACTAAATAAACAAAAGCTTCAAAACAGAAATGCCAGCATTTTAAGCAGCTTAGCAGCAAAGGAACAGCACGTTCTCATTAATATGGTGCTCAAAACTGCATGTAGTAAAATAGCTGCCACTTTCCACCTGTGAATTGGCTGCCCTTCATTCATTACTCGC